GAACCTGCTAGGATTCTTGGGCGTGTATGGGAAAACAAAAGATACAGCTGAGGCACAGGAGGACCTGCAACGTTTGCACGAAAAAGACGGCATGCCTCCAAAGCAGTATGAAGGTCCTGCCAGCTACGCTCTTACAAAAGAAGAGAAGGAAATCTTCTTTGAATGTCTGCTTAGCATGAAGGTCCCGACTGGCTTCTCGTCGAATATAAAGGGAATAATAAATATGGCAGAGAAAAAGTTCCAAAACCTAAAGTCTCATGACTGCCACGTGATTGTGACGCAATTGCTTCCGGTTGCATTGAAGGGGCTTCTACCGGAAAATGTCCTATTAGCCATTGTGAAGCTATGTGCATTCTTCAATGCAATCTCTCAGAAGGTGATCGATCCAGAAATCATACCAAGGCTAAGGAGTGATGTGGTGCAATGTCTTGTCAGTTTCGAGCTGGTGTTCCCACCATCCTTCTTCAATATCATGACGCACGTCCTAGTTCATCTAGTTGACGAGATTGTCATTCTGGGCCCTATATTTCTACACAATATGTACCCTTTGAGAGCAACAACGCGAGCTATTGATCTACAACATAATTTGCAAAATACTACCAGGACTAAGTTCATGATAAATTTAAGTTCAATTAATCATATTACTTAAGAACTCCCACTTAGACAGACATCTCTCGAGTCATCTAAGTGATCACGTGATCCAAATCAACTAAACCATAACCGATCATCACGTGAGATGGAGTAGTTTTCAATGGTGAACATCACTATGTTGATCATATCTACTATATGATTCACGCTCGACCTTTCGGTCTCCATGTTCCGAGGCCATATCTGCATATGCTAGGCTCGTCAAGTTTAACCTGAGTATTCTGCGTGTGCAAAACTGGCTTGCACCCGTTGTAGATGGACGTAGAGCTTATCACACCCGATCATCACGTGGTGTCTGGGCACGACGAACTTTGGCAACGGTGCATACTCAGGGAGAACACTTCTTGATAATTAGTGAGAGATCATCTTAAAATGTTACCGTCAATCAAAGCAAGATAAGATGCATAAAGGATAAACATCACATGCAATCAATATAAGTGATATGATATGGCCATCATCATCTTGTGCTTGTGATCTCCATCTCCAGAGTACCGTCATGATCATCATCGTCACTGGCGCGACACCTTGATCTCCATCGTAGCATCGTTGTCGTCTCGCCAACTATTGCTTCTACGACTATCGCTACGGCTTAGTGATAAAGTAAAGCAATTACAGGGCGTTTGCATTTTATACAATAAAGCGACAACCATATGGCTCCTGCCAGTTGCCGATAACTCGGTTACAAAACATGATCATCTCATACAATAAAATATAGCGTCACGTCTTGACCATATCACATCACAACATGCCCTGCAAAAACAAGTTAGACGTCCTCTACTTTGTTGTTGCAAATTTTACGTGGCTGCTACGGGCTTAGCAAGAACCGTTCTTACCTACGCATCAAAACCACAATGATAGTTTGTCAAGTTGGTGCTGTTTTAACCTTCACAAGGACCGGGCGTAGCCACACTCGGTTCAACTAAAGTTGGAGAAACTGACACCCGCCAGCCACCTATGTGCAAAGCACGTCGGTAGAACCAGTCTCGCGTAAGCGTACGCGTAATGTCGGTCCGGGCCGCTTCATCCAACAATACCGTCGAACCAAAGTATGACATGCTGGTAAGCAGTATGACTTGTATCGCCCACAACTCACTTGTGTTCTACTCGTGCATATAACATCAACGCATAAAACCTAGGCTCGGATGCCACTGTTGGGGAACGTAGTAATTTCAAAAAAATTCCTACGTACACGCAAGATCATGGTGATGACATAGCAACGAGAGGGGAGAGTACTGTCCACGTACCCTCGTAGACCGTAAGCGGAAGCGTTATGACAACGCGGTTGATGTAGTCGTACGTCTTTACGATCCGACCGATCCAAGCACCGAACGTACGGCACCTCCGAGTTCAGCACACGTTCAGCTCGATGACGATCCCCGGGCTCCGATCCAGCAAAGCTTCGGGGATGAGTTCCGTCAGCACAACGGCGTGGTGACGATGATGATGTTCTACCGGCGCAGGACTTCGCCTAAACTCCGCGACGATATGACCGAGGTGGAATATGGTGGAGGGGGGCACCGCACACGGCTAAGGAACGATCCGTAGATCAACTTGTGTTGTTGTGTCTAGAGGTGCCCCCCTGCCCCCGTATATAAAGGAGCAAGGGGGGAGGAGGCGGCCGGCCTAGGAGGGGCGCGCCAAGGGGAGTCCTACTCCCACCGGGAGTAGGACTCCCTCCTTCCTTGTTGGAGTAGGAGAAGGGGGAAAGAGGGGGAGAGGAGGAAGGAAAAGGGGGCCGCACCCCTTGTCCAATTCGGACCAGAGGGGGGCTGCGCGCCTCCTTCCTTTCGGCCTCTCTCCTCTATTCCCGTATGGCCCAATAAGGCCCATATACTCCCCGGCGAATTCCCGTAACTCTCCGGTACTCCGAAAAATACCCGAATCACTCGGAACCTTTCCGAAGTCCGAATATAGTCGTCTAATATATCGATCTTTATGTCTCGACCATTTCGAGACTCCTCGTCATGTCCCTGATCTCATCCGGGACTCCGAACTCCTTCAGTACATCAAAACTCATAAACTCATAATATAACTGTCATCGAAACCTTAAGCGTGCGGACCCTACGGGTTCGAGAACTATGTAGACATGACCTAGAACTATTCTCGGTCAATAACCAATAGCGAAACCTGGATGCCCATATTGGTTCCTACATATTCTACGAAGATCTTTATCGGTCAAACCGCATAACAACATACGTTGTTCCCTTTGTCATCGGTATGTTACTTGCCCGAGATTTGATCGTCAGTATCCAATACCTAGTTCAATCTCGTTACCGGCAAGTCTCTTTACTCGTTACGTAATGCATCATCCCGTAACCAACTCATTGATCACATTGCTTGCAAGGCTTATAGTGATGTGCATTACCGAGAGGGCCCAGAGATACCTCTCCGACAATCGGAGTGACAAAACCTAATCTCGAAATACGCCAACCCAACATGTACCTTTGGAGACACCTGTAGTACTCCTTTATAATCACCCAGTTACGTTGTGACATTTGGTAGCACCCAAAGTGTTCCTCCGGTAAACGTGAGTTGCATAATCTCATAGTTACAGGAACATGTATAAGTCATGAAGAAAGCAATAGCAACATACTAAACGATCAAGTGCTAGGCTAACGGAATGAGTCATGTCAATCACATCATTCTCCTAATGATGAATGATGTGATCCCATTAATCAAATGACAACACATGTCTATGGTTAGGAAACATAACCATCTTTGATTAATGAGCTAGTCAAGTAGAGGCATACTAGTGACTATATGTTTGTCTATGTATTCACACATGTATCATGTTTCCGGTTAATACAATTCTAGCATGAATAATAAACATTTATCATGAAATAAGGAAATAAATAATAACTTTATTATTGCCTCTAGGGCATATTTCCTTCAAACTCCAAGGTCGACGCCCGATCAGTTTCGACGGGCGCGGACACGCGCGGTTCGGAACCCATATCCGGAGACGAGTTCGGGGGTCCGATGACACATGCCTCGCTAGAGGCTGAATTTGTGTTCGGCTCCAACGCCGTAGAGTATGCGGCCTCCGTGGTGGGGTCCAGCCCCCCATCCGCGGACGGCACGATCCGTTCTGGATCTAGGGCCAGGGCAGTCACAGACGCGGTCTCCTGAGCATAGTCCGATGACAGATCTAGGTCGTGTTCATCGTGGCAACAGGGAGCGGCTGTCGTGGGTTCGAGTCCGTGGAAGATCAAGTCTTCGCGGATATCGACGATGTAATTCAGCCTTCCAAACCTGACCCGATGGCCAGGGGCGTAGCTATCGATCTACTCCAGATGGTAAACGAGTTGGTCCGCAGTGCGAAGTCGCCGAATACGAAGATCTGTCCGGGGAGAAAAGTCTCGCCCTGAACTGCCTCGTTGTAGATGATTGAGGGATCCATCAAGCCTTATGATGACGACACAGTGGAACTCTCAATGAAACCACCAATGTCGGTGTCAAAACCGGCGGATCTCGGGTAGGGGGTCCCGAGCTGTGCGTCTAAGGCTAATGGTAACAGGAGGCGGGGGACACGATGTTTACCCAGGTTCGGGCCCTTTCTATGGAGGTAATTCCCTACTTCCTGCTTGATTGATCTTGATGATATGGGTATTACAAGAGTTGATCTACCACGAGATCGAGGAGGCTAACCCTAGAAGCTAGTCTATGATTCTGATTGTTGTCCTTGTCCTACGGACTAAAACCCTCCGGTTTATATAGACATCGGAGGAGGCTAGGGTTACACAGAGTCGGTTACAGAGAAGCAAATATACATATCCAAATCGCCAAGATTGCCTTCCACGCAAATGAGAGTCCCTCCTGGACACGGGACTAAGTCTTCTCTATCTTGTATCTTCATAGTCCAACAGTCCGGCCAAAGTATATAGTCCGGCTGTCCAAGGACCCCCTAATCCAGGACTCCCTCACCCGCAGCCCGCGTCCGCTCCGGCGGCATCTCCTCGTCCCTCCTCCGCGACCGCGAGGGCTCCTCCTCCTCCTCTGCTGGTGCTGCCACTGCTGCTGCTGCTTTTTATTTTTTTTATTTTTTTAAGGTGAGCGAAGCTAATAGCCTGATTGTTTTTTTGAGACAAAGCTAATAGCCTGATGGTACTGGGCCCGCCGAGCCCCGCGCCTGTTGGGCCTGGGCCGCGCGCGTCGGGGCCCAGCCGGGCTCCTCCCCCGGCCCGACGCCGCCCTACACAAACCAAACCAAATCGAACGAGCGAGACCCAGTCCGGCTCGAGCACGGTCAACCCGCACCGCGTCGCGCACACGCCGAAGAAGCGCAGCCGAACCCTAGCTCCGCCCCCCGCTCCTCCCTCCCCGGCGGCCGCCGTCCCCGCCGTCCTCGCGCCATGGTGAGCCCCTCCACCTCGCCGCTCTCGTTGCCGACGCCCTCTCGTTTTGTCTGTCTCCGTGCTGACGGCCCCTTCTGTCGCTCCTCTTCTCTTCGCAGGCCGACTCCCCGCGCCGGAGGTAAATGGCGGCGCCGGCCTCCACGGATCTCTCTCTCTCTCTCTCTCTCTCTCTCTCAGCTACCCCCTCCTCCCTCGCCCTCTCTCTCCCCCTCTCTGATTCGGCGCCTGGTCTGAATCTATTTCCGTGCGTCGGTCTGATCCGGGCCTAGGGATGCCGCTGGCAGCCGTGGCTTCGGTTTAGGGGATCGATCGATTGGCTGATGTCGGTAGGCGCAGGGCGACACGGGGCATCGGAGGATGCGTATCCTGTTGCGGCGTAGCTGCGGATCTTATTTTCTGCCTCTTCTTTTCGGGCCGGATTGTAGTAGTTTGGGAGATTTACTGACTGGATGCGTGTTGCGTGTGAAGTAGCCCTGCGTGGATCTCGTTGTCCGCCAGTCCCTTTGATCTGGATTGTAGTTTGTGAGATTTGATGATGCAAGTTATTAGGTTTGCGGTTAACTCTGGTACGGTGCTCACAACGGTAGTTCCCAAGCCCTAGCAGGTTCACTGTTTGTTAGAACCCATGCCTTGCTTGTATATAGATATAGACGCGCTGTTTCGCCCACCTTAATCTGACATAACTCCAGAGCGTGCAAGTTTATGGTAGCATCATGGGATGGGATTAGGTTTGCCAATAAAGAAGCTTCAGAGTTTTAAGTGGTTACTGATAAACCAGAGTATGACAGTGTAGCAAATGTCTGATTGGGGTTCAGATCTGAACCCAGCTGCTGGGAAGGTTGGGATGTTCACACACAGCCCGATGCACCTATGCCTAGTTTGTTGCAAATGTACGTCAATTAGATCCGTCTTAGAGGTTAATGGTCTGTTTGGATGGCAGCCGTGAGCAGCCATGACAAAATTTGGAGTTGGCTACTGGCCAGGGCATTCGTTTGGATTGAAGCCAATCTTTCCAGCCACTGACAATTTTTTTGTCCTCAGTTCCTTTTTCACGCCTGTGCCTTGGCAAGCCAGTGGCGCCTGATTTCTGCGCCAATTAATTGGCTCACCCTGGTTTGGTAGGGTCCTTGGCGCCAACCAAACGGCCCCTATAAGAATTAAGAATGTTTTATGCAATGCTGATCGGTCAACAGATTATTCAATGAACTCCAGTAGTCCACATACAGAGCTAAAACTGACTACATGTTACTTACTGTCCTTATTCCTCTATCCATTTCTCATAGTATTTATTCGCTCAGTGTTTCGTTAGGCAAGCAGTTCATTGGATGCTAAAAATGATGTTGATTCTCGAGAACTATCTTATCAGCCTTCCATATTGTTATCTTTAAACTTGTAAAGTTACACAAAGTTATGGCTGTGCTCTGCTATCCAATGTGCTTTTGTTCTCCTTGGCAAGCCATGTAGATTACTATAGGAAAATGTTGAAGGGAAGAAAATATCTTTCTCAGAATTGTTGAGCAGTTTATTGACTGTTTCGTACTTCCAGGTACACAAGGCCCTCAAGGTCCCCTTCTCCTTATAAGGGACGCCAAAAGCAAATGTCAAGGTCAAGATCACCTGTAGCCCAATCCCAGTCTAGATCTCCATCGCCTGATCCTAGAGCTCAGGCGAGGTCAAGATCTCGAAGCCCTGCGAGGTGTGGATTCCTTGTTCAACTTTTTAGCTAATGCTGCATGTGCTCCATGTGGTCTGCCTATTCTGTTTCTTGTACCAAAAACCAAATCAAAGATTAACTTGTATTCTTGCAATATCATGTGCAACATGTTCGTGCTGTTGAGAGTTTTGTTCATGATAGCTAAATTTATATTATAATAGCCTACACTTGTGGCATAAATTCCATATAATGTTTGTAGGATAGAAGTATATTTAAATTGGTTGCAAAATTGGTCATCCTATTATATATATCAGCTTATAATGGTGTGGGTAGGTGAATCACATGGTATTAGTTGTATACAATGGTTGTGATGGTCAGAAGTCATCTTATAATAGCCATGACATACAAGACAACATCACGTAGTAAGTAGCTAGTGGCGTAATGCGTAATGATCTCATAACTTGTTGGATGAATCTATTAGATAATAGATATTGCATGTAATAAATGCATTCTAAGATTGTAATAGCTCCTGCTATAGGTAGCTGGAATTCTATCCATGGAAAAATATATAGTTTATGGTGTGGCAATATCTAAACTTTCTGGAACGCATAAGATAAAAGGAACATAACATATTTCTACAGATTTTCCTGAATGTGGCATATGCTTCAAAACTCTGAATTGAATGACCATTAATTCATCATATGTAATTTGTACATGCTTAATCTGTATCATTCCCCAGGGAGCGGGAGCCTGAAGCCGTAAATCATGGAAATACTCTGTACATTACTGGACTTTCTTCTAGGGTGACTGACAAAGAACTTAGAGAGTACTTCAATAAGGAAGGAAAGGTTAGTTACTTGGCTTCATGTAAGTTTGCAGATTTGTTGTTCCTTGTGAGGTACAAAGTTATGACATCTCCTCTTTGTCAGGTGGTTTCTTGTCATGTTGTTCTTGAACCCCACACACGTGTTTCTCGTGGATTTGCTTTCATCACCATGGACACTGTTGAAGATGCTGAACGCTGCATCAAGTATCTCAACCAGTCAGAACTGCAAGGCCGGAACATCACAGTTGAAAAGGTAATTGTTTGTGCGTCCACATGGGTTGTCGTCTTGTTGGTTCAGATGCAACCTTGTATTTCATGTGTGTTGACCTGGAGGTTTTTTGGTGGTTATTCAGAAGACATTGTGCAAGCTATGTGCCAGCAATCAAGATGCTGAGTTCATCAATTTCAACTTTAGCTCATACAGCTTGATCAATGGACAGCCCAAAGGGTTACTATGCAACACGAGATTCACAACAACTAAACGTAGCAAATTTTCAACTAAACCTGAGCATTCACCTGCAACTCCCCATCAACTAATCAACGGGCATTTCCAACACTTTAGTCAAGATGTCTGGTGACATATGCATAGCAATGTTGGATGTCTGCTAGTTGGAGTTTGTGCTCTTCATTAAGTATTTCCTTCCTCCTTGGTCCGTTAATGCAGGGTGTATATCCGCTGATCGTAAGGGAAACTCATAATTTCCTACACAATCCAGCATGATATTTATTTTTCCTTCTTTCTTAGCTTGGAGCCTGATATTGTACTGATTGTTGTTATGGTTGTTTCAGTCACGCAGAGGCCGCCCAAGGACGCCTACTCCTGGGAGCTATCTGGGTATGAAAAGCAGCCTAAGCTTGTGGTCTACATTGTTGGCCCATGAATTTACACCATAACTTCCATCTCAGTGCTCCTTTGCATTTCTGCATGTTCTTACTGTATGTATATATGATGTACGTATATGCCTGGTTAATTACAACTTATGGTTTACTTGCAATTTTCCTTGGACAGGCCATCGCTATGAGCGCAGAGAGATGCAGCGTGGAGGTAGATTCCGCAGAGGAGGCTATGGTCGTGACGACTACTATGGCAACAGCTACCGCAGGTCTCCGCCTCCCATGTACCGAGAATACAGGGACACCCGGGACTACCCTCCCTACAGGGACACCCGCGACTACTCCCCACCCCACAGGGATGCCCGAGACTACTATGACGGCAGGGGTGGCCGGGGCTACTCCCCCCACAGGTCTCCCCCTCCTTATGGTGGCAGGGCAAGGAGGGAGCGGTCTAGGTCGCTGCCCTACTCCCCGTACCGTATGCCCGAAAGGGGCTATGGCCGCCGTGCTGGTGGCGGTGGCTATGACAGGTGAAGGGTTGTTGTTCTCTTTGCGTCAGCAGAGGCCCGATGTCTAAGTTGGATGATAACATGCTGCGCATGACGGGCCTCATGCTAGATTATGTGTAAGCTGTACTGTCTTGAAGAATATATTCCTGGATTTTGCAGTGTTGTACCTCCACCTAGTTTGTGTAACTTGGATGACATTAGACATGTTCGTTTTATTTGGATTCATCTTTTAACTATTCAAAATCATGTTGCTCTGCTTCATGGCCTGAATGGCGAGAGAAGGGAGGGTATATTCATCGTGAGTTCGTGATTGAGCTTTCAGCGTGATGCTAAGTTTGATGAATGTCTGGTGCTGGAAGCATGTGAGAATGCGTGGTTGATGAGAGCCTTCAGAGATACTGCCTCTATCAAAATAGAAGATGTCTTTGCTGTTCAAAACGTCTTATGTTTTGGTACAGAAGAGTAGATAAGAAGTCTTCAAGTTTGTCTGATGGCCCAGTGGATGTTGTCAGAATTTACATTCCTAGTTGATGCAGCCCTCGCTAGGGTTAAAGATTACCAGTGAGGAATGAAGGCGGATCAAACTGTCGAATGTTTGTTGCTGCTGCTGTGAGTAGGAGGCCTGCTGCTTTTGCTTGAAGAGCAGAATTCTTGGATTTGAATTTGTACGTCTTATTCTCCTTGAATATGAAGAATCCAAATCCTGTAGCTTTTGTATTGGCCTGCAGTCCTGGGATTTTTGAAGAATTGAAAGCCGCATCTGAGTAGATTCTTGGCCCTGCAACGAGGTCACTTGAGCAGGTTCAGGAAGTACAGTGGTGAACCTGATGGGGCAAGCCATTTTTCCTAGTAAAGAGGGCAGCATTTCTTGACTTCCAAATGCACCAAAGAAACTCCATCCCATCGCGGCCGAGTACAACTGGCGCCTCTCCCTCTCGCCCTTCCTGTGCCTGCCCCCCACCCCATGCCTAATTTTTTGCCGGCAGCCCCCCATAGGCACGTGATGAAGACTGAATTAGTTAAAATGGAAGGGAAATGTTATACCAGAAGATGAAAGGAAAAAAAAAAATCGTCAAGCAGCAACCTGCTGATAGGCACAAACAGCTTACTAGCACGAAATTCATTCAACGTCATCAAATTCAATGTCATAGGAAAGGAGTGTTCTGCTTGTCGATCTATCGGTGTCATTCGGTTCATGTCGGGCTGTTTCGCTTGTGCCAAGATGGCACACACGCCCGCCTGCCTCGGCGTGTGACGATCCGCTTGCGCCTGTCCTGTCCGAGTAATCTGCTGTGTATGCACTTGGCATACTACGAACGTGTGGACCAGACGTCCCGTTAGCGCAAGAGGAGGAGAACAGTCTGTTTAGGCGGCTGCAAAGTAAGGTATGGCGGACGACTTGGTGTGGTTAAGAATACGATCAAAAGGCGCTGAGTGTACGAGCGACTTGACCAACAAGGTTCGGTACGACATGCGAGGGTCCTTTGATCAGTCGTACCCTACATTGCTACGTTTGGGCCGGTGCTTCCTTGTTGTTGGAAACGATTGTTTTGGGGTCCTTTGATCGGTGCAAAGCGCACGTATATATATGGAGTATAAAGTGGGTCACAACCTCAACTATACAAAGACTAGGAGGTGGGCCAGGCTATATACAATATACA